ACACAATTACTGGAATAAACATACAAGCAAGGAGAAAATCTGGCGGACACTAATAGAAAAAGACAGGTATTAATACGCCTTATCACCACTGGAAGGAATGAGGTTGACAAGGAGAGAAGCAGGAAAATCTACTCACTCTAATTAACAGACTGGAGCACAAGGATTATGTTCTTCCGGGGCTAAGGATAAAAACTGCAAATTAAACAAATGCAGTAAACAACTTAAAGGAATAGTACACCCAAAACATGATTAGCCTTCATTTTCTACTCACCCCCATGCTGAACAACACTCTGGAGTACTTTTTTGATATCTCAAATGCATCTGGAGATCTGGGAGGCTTCTTGCTGTCTGCTGACATTCAAATAATGGAGGTCCATGGTGCCCGAGACAGAAAGGTCCATAAAAGTCCACAAAAAACGTGTCAATATTCCTCCATACTGCTCGTCCAATGTATTCCAAGTGTCCTGAGTGGGTAGCATCCAGAATTTACTCGAAACGAAGTCATTTAGAATGTTTTTAGAGCATAAACAGTAGTGTATAGGATTTCCTGAAAGCGCGCACATGCGCGCTCACGACGCTACGGAAACCGGCAGACCAAACCAGATGAAAGTGCGCATTCAGCGTCTGCTCTGCCAATAATGCAAGCGTAGATGAAGAAATGTGCTGTTTACCTGTGCAAAGAAAGAAACAACGAAAGAAAAATGTCTGAGGACTTCAGTGTTGAGGAAGAGCATGAGTTCTTTGCCGAGCTGAATGCGCTGGTTTGGTCTGCCGGCTTCCGTAGCGTCGTGAGCGTGCATGTGCGCGCTTTCAGGAAATCCTATACACTACTGTTTATGCTCTAAAAACATTCTAAATGACTTCGTTTCGAGTAAATTCTGGATGCTACCCACTCAGGACACTTGGAATACATTGGACGAACAGTATGGAGGAATATTGACACGTTTTTTGTGGACTTTTATGGACCTTTCTGTCTTGGTCACCATAGACCTCCATTATTTGAATGTCAGCAGACAGCAAGAAGCCTCCCAGATCTCCAGATGCATTTGAGATATCAAAAAAGTACTCCAGAGTGTTGTTCAGCATGGGGGTGAGTAGAAAATGAAGGCTAATCATGTTTTGGGTGTACTATTCCTTTAACTTCTTAACTTTAAACCCAAGACTAAGAGGGTGTGTACGTCTTCACGTGCCACACAGAGTACATGGGAAGAAATTATGTATTGTTATAACATTTTGTGAGCTTGCCTGTAAATGTCCCATATAGGTCTATTTGTCCTGGGAAGCAAATAATTGTATGCAACCATATAGCTCCTATGTTGTAGGTAGGAACATTAGGAGGTCAGTATGCTACATGAACAATTAATAGGAAGCACCCCACCTCCTCCTCCTGACCCCCTTTCTTTCTGCCTGTGCTATTAAGAGTACACTTAGATGACAATGTTTGATGCTCTTTCACTTTGGTTGAAGTATCCTCATTAATTTGCCCAATTCATCTAAAGAATCTAAAGAACTAGATACAGGTTTAACCTGTACAAGGAAAATTATGTTTATTAATTTCTCAGGCCAGGTCTCTAAAACCAAACTCTTTATGCAAATTACACATGCTGAAGGTCAGCTCTTTGGTTCTTCTGATTACTATAATCTTGCTTAGTCACCAAATAAGTGTGGCAGCCAAAACTTTCAGCACTAACTATTGTGTAACATTTTTTTCATATTATCCTGTCACAGTGATTACTCTCTATAACTTGCATGAAGTCAGCTCAAACTATATGGATGGATGCAATTGCCACAAATGTTAAGCGAATTTTACCAATGGGGACTTCTGTGTTTACTCCCATATGACAAAATAGAAAATGGCACTTCAACCCACTGTACTAATGGCATAATTTCGACTGTACAGGGGTTACAGTTTACAGGTGAAAATAGGCTATAACTCAAAGGAAATATTAAATAATAAATATATCAAAACCATCTCTCAGCTGTTGGTGGACAGCAGATTTATATAATTCTGTTTTCTATTATTAGTTTCATCCATCCATCCATCCATCCATCCATCCATCCATCCATCCATCCATCCATCCATCCATCCATCCATCCATCCATCCATCCATCCATCCATCCATCCATCCATCCATCCATCTTCTTCCGCTTATCCGGGGTCGGGTCGCGGGGGTAGCAGCTTCAGTAGGGAGGCCTAGACGTCCCTCTCCCCAGCCACTTCGGCCAGCTCCTCTGGGAAAATCCCAAGGCGCTCCCAGGCCAGCTTTTTTATTCCTCTATGTAAGAATACCCCACCCCCTGATGATATAGAGAAAATTTAGCAGACCATTTAAAATCTGTCGGTAAAGTTACTCCTATAATTTATATTCTATGTTGTTGCCATCGCTTCTGATATTTCTCTTTAAGAAAATAAATAAATAAAGCAATAATACTAATAATCCCCAAACTACTGCCGCGTTGTTCAGAAAGATATTACATCTACCTGTTGATCTCCGTAAAGCAAAAATATTATTCATAGATCTGTATTAATAAACCGGTTTAAAATAAGTTGCCCATAATTTTTCATTGTGAATAAGAAATCTGGTGTGTCAGTTCACTTATCTTTTTTTTTTTTTCATCTGTCTTGTCCGATGATCCCATGACCTTCCATCAACCCATCACTGCCAGTGTTCTTTTCTCGTCCAAAGCAGTGGGCATCCAGTCATTTCCTTAATGTTCGCATCTCAGCAGCTGCAAACCATCCCTCCTTCTGTAGTTTAGGAGCAAAGTTAGTCTCTGTGTCCCCTGTAGGTTAATCCATCCTGCGACTCAAGAAAGAAAGTGTCCAATGTCTCTCCAAACAAAGATCCATTGTTCATTTTGAAACATTCCCATCCGTAGTGTAGTCAAAACTATTCAAAAAAATTTAACATGCGTGCCACGTCTTTTTTTTTTTTTTCATAAAGGCTAAGATGTTAGTAAACAAACAGAAAACAGAAAACAAACAAACATACAGACACAAACAACGACAAACATGTAAGACAACAAAAAACCCCAGTGGTGCCTCCGACTTCTCCAAATAGTTGTTGGTTCATCTTGTCATTCGTTAAATGCCTCTGTCAGCATGACTGCTCTTAATGGGGGCGCAATTCCACCCCAACAAAAGTCTGTGAGCTTCAAACCACCACATCAATCTGTACCTCATAGCTCATATCAGAACCAGAGAGGAATTAAAACAAACCCAGACCTCACCAGAATGGCCTTCAGCCGGGAACAAAACATGCAGCCACAATCTCTACACCCTGTCTCTGGCATGCTGCGTTCTCACACCATCTCTCTAATGTCCTAATCCATGGTTCCGATCCAGTCCAGTTACTAACCAAGTCAGTCCAGTCAGTTCGAACCTATTCAAATCCTCCTATCAAAAAGTTTTCAACTATCTTAACCCCCCTCTCTCTCTTGCTGTAGTCACTCTCAGCCAAGTTGTCCATTTCACATGCCAGAACTTCTGCAGCTGTTGGGAAAATAAGGGTTAATGCACATCTTAAACAAAACACAATGAAGGATGAGACTTTTGTCAGCCTGTCCTGGAAGAAAAAATGTTAACATTTAAGGATTGTTACAAACACAGCCTGAAAAAGAAAAAAAGAACATGTTTAAGCAAAATGATCTCCTGATCCTCCTTAAATGGGCCTCTGAATAATCCTGCCTGCTCCCTGACAGCCGCACTGTCACTCTCTACAAGCAGGGAAAAAGTAAATGACCCCTCTGGTTTGTTACCAGGAAAAAGCAATCAAAAAATTCATCAATTAGTCAATAGTTAATCACTTCATTCACAGAAATTTGTAAAGTTAGCAGAATTTAACAAGTCATGCAAAGAAGGTAAGGCCCAGATGAACAGTGAAAAGTGTTAGTGTTAATAATGATTAGAGAATCAAATTAATCAGTTCGTGCTTAGGCAGTTTCCAAGCGGCATTATACACAGATAAAAATACTTATGGATAAAAACTGAAGGCTGAGAAAACCCAGGGTCAGGTCACACCGAAATTGTTCTTAACTCTCCAGTCTTGTTTATAAAAGTTGACCCCCCTAATCTGCTGAGCTCCTGCGGGTATCTTGGCCATATGCTGTGTCCAGTTCCAGCTCGAAGTGTGATTTATCCTGTCCCTAATCAATCACTAATAAAATCCTAATGAGAGAAAAATGAAACTAATCAATCTCTAATGCAATTCTAATGATTGAAAATGAAACCACCTTTAAATTAAAATCATGTAATGCCCCCGTCTGAAATTTTTAGTTTCCCAAAAAGTAAAAACACCCACTCCCATAATTACTTATATATTTAATTATTATTTTTTTTTATCTATAATCCATTAATCTAGAGTATCTCAGCTGCACTCCACACTCAAAAATTACCTCACACCTTACAGCAGCAACCTGCTCTGGTCTTGTCATGGCCTCTCCTAGGTGGGGCCCCTGAGCAACATGTTTGATACGATTACCCTTCTGTTATGCCCCCAGTGCTCCTTCTCAATCCTGTAAAAATGCAAATCATGTTAATGTCACATCAAAAAATATTCTTAATCATTCCCAACTTGACCACACACATTCTACCTCACATGCATTCCACATTTAGGACAGACAGACAGACATTGGCCACATAAAGTTTGTTTAATCCATCAGTATCAATTTAGATTTATCTTCTTAGAGGATTCTTTCCCAATTTAAACAAAAATCATAATCTTTTCACCAGTCTGGTCTTAAGACCTCTGCACCAGTGCTTTTCAGCCTCATTTTAGGATCCTTGTTAAACTATATGTGCACATTTATGGAAACCTAAGATTTATTTGCTCACGTTAGACACCAAAATAAGTTTTCACACCCAATGATTTTTAATTCTAAACGTCCCCCAAAAATGACATGTTTGAATTTTCAAATATGAGAACACCTCTAAGGGGTTCTGAAAAAGTGGTATGTTTTGTTTTTCTCCTGAAAATCCCATTACCCGTGTAGTTTTTTGGCAGGTGGGCACATAAAGATTCATGGGGCTGTATCTGGCCCCCGTATTAACCATAAAAGTACAGTTGCTGCCCTCAATCAAAATATCTATCACTGCTGCTGGAAATTTCTCAAAAACTACCTCCATAACTAAACAAATAGTGGGATCCCGGCCTCCCTAGTATTGCTGCATTGACTTCCTTTCTCTAATTCTTACTGAACCCGCACATCGATCTTCTTTGCCCATTTCTCCCCTTCTCTATCCAACTCACCCTCCATTTCATCTACTGCTGTCTGCCTCTCTTTTATCCACTGAACTCAACCGTCCTAATTTATCTATTTGATGTAACCCACTCTATTCTGAACAGTTGACTGAGTAAAGATCCATTTAATCCACCTTAGAGTATCCTCAGTGATCAGTGTCTAATTTATATTCACTTTGCTACAGTTTGACAAACCTAGCTTGTGTGGTCTAACATTTTCAAATATAAGCTCCTGAATCAGTCACTCTAAATGCAGATTACAATACCATTCTAGTGTAGTAATTGGTAGATGTCTTTAAGGTAAAAACTGCTTCTAGACTCCTGGGCCCTGCCTCTGCTGTGACCGGCCCTGTGCGCACTCAGTCTCTCTGTGTCTTCTTTTTCTTCTCTCTCCTGCCTCTAAGTGAACGGCTGCTCTGTGTGATCCACCTTCTGGAGCTCAATGTTGGGCGGGGGTTTACAGCACTGAAAATGTACTAATTGATCTTCTTACCTTTAAAATGTTCATTTCAAGACATCGTAAATTGTAAATATATCAACCTCTTATATTTTAAGCTTTCCTTTCCATTTGTATCATATCTTCCTCATTGCTATCCGTATGTGGCTTCCTCTGCTCATCTCTCCCTCTTAGACTGTCAGCTGCCCCTAGACTGTGCCCTTCATGTTCTGTGCCCATGCTATCAATTGTTGACATTCGCTGAAATGCTTTATTTACCGCCTCCTCTATTAAATCTTGCATCTGAAACTCCTTTCGTACCTCTTGTCCCAATTCTTCCTCTGTAGGCCTTATTTCACAATTTATCTGACCGTCACGCAACTCCATAACAGGCATCTGCACACATGGGTTTGATGGAATCATTGCATCACCAGCCTTACGAAACATTTCTCTGACACCTTGGTGTGGACTGGGGTCCATAATAGGCTCTGTTTCTGCAATATTAGATGTACTCATTAAAGGTTTTTCTTACCCTCTGAAGTGTCGAGTGCCTGCTCACCTCCCTGAGCCCCGTTTTGCTCCACCTGTTCCTGTTCAGGGTCCTTGTCAGAAAAATAGTTACTAAAATTGAACTTGGTTTGTCTAATCAAATCCAAAAGTTTTTTCCTTCTGGTGTTTGTCTCGTCCGAACACACCAGCACCAGCCATTTTTTCACGAGCTTGTGACAGTCTATTTTTTAGTGTATCCAAATAAAAACCACGTTGTGAAGTGTTTGGAGGGGGCCCCTCTAATTCCCCAAACATTCAATTTTTTCAACCCATTCATCAAATTTTCTAATGTGGTGTTCTGCATCCTTCAATGGATAACTCGCCATGATCATATTTCTCCCTTTATCCAGACTCGCTTTTAACGAGGTGTTTCTGGATTCAATTTCTAGTCCACATGCATCCATCTTTCACACCTTCCGTTCACACAGTGTATAAAATTAGACCTCGACGTCTTACGTGAGATCCCTCGGTGCTTTAAACTTTTTACCTATAAACTTCAGTGAGCCGCTTCTCTGCTAAGGAAGTGCGTCCGTCAAAGAAATACGTCCGTCAGTGAAAAGGAAAAAAGAAAGGAAATTTAGAGAAAAGAAAAGATTTAGATATAGTTCCGCCTAGTTCACTCCACCAACTTTTAGGATTAGACAAACAAGTTACCTAATCCGGGCATCAGTCTCTACTAGTTTTATGAGGAATATCATTTTATCGTCTCTCTCTTTTCCTTTTATAAGAGAAGGAAAGAGAAAAACACCTCAAAGGTCCGTTCCAACCTGATCCGCGCCTTATCATCAGTCTCGGTTTTTCGTAAATGTCCTTATGGGAGGTATACTGGCAAACTCTAGCCGGCTATGTGACTGGTTGTCTGTGCGTCTGTTTTCAGAAGTGCATCTTTCGTGTCTGCAGGCAGACCGGGAATAAAATCACCGTCCCTTTCTGCATGCAGAAACCGTTGGGCTTTCCAACCAACTTATCCTAGTGAGTAGTATAGTTCTTGAAGACGTTTGCGCAGTCGCCTTCAGTCGGACTTTCAACCGCTACCCCCAGCAGAACGCACGACTTTCTTTCTCTCTCTCTCTCCTTTTTCTCTCTTTTTTTTTTTTATGTGTACACGTTCGCAATGTAAAAAAAAAATAAAAACCAACAAATACAACAAAACAAAAACCGCAAAAACAAAAAACTAAAATCACTCTGAGCAATTTCTCTGTCCTCTTTTGCATAAAAAGCTTCAGCTCACTTCAGAAAATCACAACACAGCCAAAGTGTTTTAACAGTAAAAACACTGGAGATATTTTGTAATAAGGAATCTCCTCACCTTATCAGTTGTTTCGGACGCAGGCTGTGGAGCTTTTTCCATCGGTGGCTCTGTTGTTTTGCTTCCAGGTCACGGGCGGAAACACCAATTTGTTAAAGTGAGGAAGATTTGTCCCCTTGGAAGTAAAGGCTGTAGCGCCCCGGGGCCTCCTCACACGGTTCTTTTCCTGGGAGCAAGTTATTTACTACTCTTAACTCAAACTCGGTAAAACCATATAAAAAGGACTATAGAAACAGGAGTAAAAAAGTGACAGAGTTTATTCTAGATCAGGTCGTTACAGGACAGAGAAAAATGCTTTGAGCTATGCACAGCTGTGGTCTCAAAAATCACGTCCGCAAGCGTCCGGCAAAGTTTGAGCCCCGATGAAGGTCATCCCCTGCTTCTTATACCTTGTGAGTCTATGTGTTGCATCATGTGGATGCTTAGCTGTCCGTATCAGAAACTGACACGCCATCCATGTCTTGAACTCCATGCAGGTTGCCTCTCTGTCTCAGGGTTACAGATACAGCAGCTCTCCTATCAGACCGGCTCCAAGATGTGCCCATATCCTTTGTACTCTTAGAGACACAAAGGCTGTCTTGATTAGATGACCTCCGCACACACCGTGATATCCACAATGTGAAGGAAGGCCTTCTGCTCTGTCTAATCTGACAAACAAATTAACAGTGCACATGATGTATAAATAATAAACCCTAACAGAAAAATAGTCCCTCCAGCGTGTCCTGGGTCTCCCGCTGGGCCTCCTCCTGGTGGGACGTGCTCTCTCTTCACCACAACAGAGCGGTACAGAGCCTGCTTCACAGCAGACGCCGCACCAATCCGCCTATGGATCTCCCGCTCCGTCTTCCCCTCATTTGTGAACAAGACCCCAAGATACGTCCTCTCCAACCCGGATATTATTAGTTTCATTTACTTTAAATTCTTTTCTAGATATTTTAAGCTCTGTTTTGTTACTCTCTGCCTTCCCATAGTGCCAATCTTCCTCCCCCGGAGCTCCCTTCTAGCTACTTCTGTCCAAACCTGCTCCCAAGGGTCCTACTCCTCTACTGCAGAAAATATTTGCTGGATTTTCTTGATTCCCTCCTGAAGTCCTGCATTTCAATTTGTATTGGTTCCTGTGTTCCCTGGTTACTTATTTAAGGATTTATGTTTCTGCACCACCACTGAAATTTTAAAATCTGCAAGAAACAACTAAGTGTTTGCATACCATGTTAACATCGAGCCCTGCTCCCGATAATTAGTCCTTGTTGGTTCTCAATGTTTCTCTAAGTTCATTCCCTTCTTATTATCTGTTGTGTATCTACTCTGCCAAGGTTCCAGTAGAGGTCGGATTACGTCTTACCTTAAAGTAGGATATTGTCCTCCTGTTTCTTCTTCTGAGGCTTTTAATTCCTGTTTCTAGGATTCACTCTCTAAGTTTCCCATTGGACCCCCAGGTTAAATTCTCCATGACTAGCAACTGCTCCCTTTGGCCTCCTCACCACTCATCTGCCAACCTCCCCATCCTGCCTTCTCTGTGATGGTTTAGTCAGTCAAGCCATCCATTCTATCAGTCTCGGGACCTCCACCCAGATTTCAGCTCCAGCCACCAACCACTCCCTTCCTGGTGTTCAAGATCTCCAGCCCAAGTAAGAAGAAACCATTCTTCCTCTCAAAGTTCTGCTGTCCCAAAAACACCTCACGCTGTTTCTCATTTCAGAGCTTTCCTGCCGTAAAAGACCTGTTGCCAGCTGCCCAGACTCATTCCCCAGCAGAACATTCAATAAATCATTGTTAATCGTTGTCTCATGAGAGCTTTCATTAATTTGGTAAGAGAATTACATAAAGCAATGACAGAACACTCAGAAAAGAATCTAACATTTGCAGGGAGGATAAAATGTTTTTGGTAACTCTCCATTGAAAAACATATCTGCTTAAGTTTAGGGTGCACACAAAAAGTAAGGCATCCCTACCAGTACAGTTTTCTTAGGGTTAAATTTTGGCTTGGTTTGATTTTGTGATTTGCAATAAAAAGAAAGGTGGACACTCTGGCGTCCAGCGGCAAAAGTTTAAATTTATTAACTGAAACGTTGGATGCTTTGAGAATTCAGAATTCCCGACGCCAGAACGCTTTGATGCGGCACTCCCGATGCTCGGTCACAGCGCTGGACCTCTCCACACTGTCTTGCTTTGACACCCAAAACCTGTTTGGTGTAAACGCACCATTAGTTTATCTTTACAATAAAAACTGAGTTGACTCAGTTTACTTTGTTAAAACCCTATTGCTCTACAGTGTGGAAGGGTTATAGAACTCCATCTATCTGCCAATGACTTACAAATCAGGGATCACATTTTCCATTTCCACTTATACAAGTAAGAATAAAAGGATGGATGAAAACATGGAATGAAAAAGCTGCCTTTCAATCTTGCAAGAAGACCATTCAGGGAATACTCCCCCTGGACCAAAGCTTTTTCAAGGTTGTGCCCTACTCTACAAGCTACCTCTATAAAAAGGTATGTGCATCTTGTGTGTGCTTGCCTGAGTGCATGTTGTCCTCTGGGCCTCAGTAACGTTCAGTCAGGCTGATATCTGTCCCCATGCTGAAACAAAAGTGTGAACTGTGGGTGCAGTTATGTCATATGTGTGTGAGTGTGTGCTGAGCCAACTGAGCGCCAGAGGTTCCCATCAGACTCCTGTGTCAGATGGAGGGTAAACAGCTGTCGGCCACAAATGTTCTTTGTGTTCATTTTTTTGATATACAACTGTGGCCAAGACAACATAGATCAAAATAAGTTCATGGCGATTTTATTGTTTTATGTAAAATGGATGGCTCCTTCTATATACTGTAGCACCCTGCTGGCTTTAAAGATATTGGAGATTCTGAAAAAAAACTCATTATCAAATAACTGCAAGAATTCCTACTGTACTCTAGAATGTAATTTGTGATAACCCTATCCTTTGCTTGCATAATTTTTAAAAGTTCAGCATTGTTCGGTGAGAGACAAACACTATAGAGTAGTATGATGTGCAATATGCAAAAAAATAAAACTGAAAAATGTTTTGCTACAGTTGTTCAAATGTATGCTGCGCAAATGCTACAGTTTCCTAGAAGTGGGTTTTGGAGTTTTATCATCTCCCCTAAAACTTCAAACACATCCTTGCATATCTAACTCACATTTTAACCCAATGACATAGGAAGTAACCCTGCCTTAGGCAAATAACGCTCCAGCATTGACTTTATACACCCATGATACTATAATTGATCTTTTTCCTGCCATTTTAAACCTTTCAGGCATTCCTTCGACTGCAGAAACAATATAGTTTAACAAAATAAACTTTTTCCTGTAACCTTATTTGACTTATGAAGATTAAAACTCCTCTTATCTTGTCCGTTTTAAATAATGGTCATTGCCTCTGTACAACTATGAGACATCACATTCAATCCATTGAGAAACCTAAATCCATTAATCACTATGAATGTTCTGATCCAATATTGATATAAAATAATCAGTCTGATAGCAGCCAAAAAACAAAAATAGGAAAATATGGCCTGCAATGTCAGATATTAGCATTTTGATAGAAATTCTTTGCTTCTGTTTAAAGTTTATCTAACCAATCGGGGTAATAAATAGTTGAGCTGTTCTCATACCTACTGTTGTTGACTATTGTTCTCTGTTTAAGTAAAAATCATGACAAGACTTTTACTATAATACAATAATAAAACTATGTATAATTCAAACTGATCGGATCAATATTATTATCGGTAAATACTAAAAAGTCCAATCTCAGTCTCATATCAGACATTAAAAAGTTGTAGCAAGATAT